GTCCGCGCCTTCACTCAGTCCTCAGCTCCAGGAAAGAACGCTGCGGTGATATTACACACATTACGGTCAACTATCGAATTACACACGGCAATGAAAGGCAGGGGGCAAACCTCAACACGTCAAAATGAGTCCACACAAGGCATTTCTCCACTCCTCTCCAATCATCTGTTTAATTTTTCTTACATTTTTCTATTTTATTTATTTCTGTTACTGATTTGTATACATGTTCTAGAGTCTCTTATAACGTTTCAGGACCCCATATTCTGTCTCAAACACATTAATAAAAATATATAAATAAACGCAGGTCACTCTTTCTTGCAGTAAGGTGTATTCCATGACGTATAGTCTTCTGATGAGGTGAGCTGCTTCATTGGCAAAGTTACAAATCAGTTCTGTGGAAGAGTGGACCTTGTCACAGTGGGCCTATAAGCCTGCATGGAAGATATGTTTAGCAGTAGGCTTACTAAGTACAAGAAAAGATAGGATTAAAGCACAAGTAGTCAACTTTCTCCCATAGATCACTGTCTTTATTTTGTTGAACTATGGGATGAGAGATAATTGGCCCCATGCTTTACTTTTCTAAGAAAGCTGTTTTTATATCTGGGCTTGTGGTCATAAAGAAACCAAATTCTATACACATTACTCAAAAGTTCCCAAATTTGAAATGTTTAATAATAAAAGTGTGAAGTAAGTGAGTATTCTTTATTAATGGCGCATTTCAAAGACAAACACTACATCAGTTGTGTAATTTCCATTCACTCCACACAACTTCACAGATATGGGGAGAACATGCAAACTCCCCATAGAAAGACCCCGTCCGGAGGTGGAATTGAACCTAGACGTGAGGCACAAGTCTTAACCGCTGCACCACTGATGAAACTTTATGATTGAGGTCTGTGTCAGAGAGAAACCCCTCAGGTTCTGACACCAAACACTGTGGCTGCACTTTGTAACTTTTGAAGCAGTCTGTGGTCTTTCCCATGTCGTAAATCTCATCACGGCCACCTGACTCTGCTTGTGTTGTACCTTTTGAACTAATTACTGTGGCCTCCCCTTCTACAAGCTGCTGAAATTGAAATGAGCATAATAGGCTGTGTGAATATTCATCAAACAGCCAGGCAGCAGCACTCTGGGGCATAAAACAGTAAGGGATATCTTCTGAGGAAACTTGGCCAGTGTATTCTCAATAGATAATCAGGCTGTATTATGTAACATATACTCTCTATTTGATCAATGATTTGGTCCATCCTCGGACATCTATACATATTTTCAATCTATAGAAAAATATGTTGCTTTATAAATTATATTCATTGTAATGCAGGTATAGATGCAGTGATCTTTATTGATATCACGTTTTCTCACAATGTTGCGGGCCGTTTCCAATCACTCTCGGTGACAGAAGCAGAGACGCCTGTGCACAGAAGGTCACATTTCAAGGCAGGCCAACGTCTTACATATTACTTTCACTAAAATCAGTGGATCCATATAAATGATTAGTTCTGGAGATCCATTTGACAAGCATTGACGCATGGAATAAATGATGTCTTATCTCAGGAAGGCTTTTCTCATGTCATTATGTTTACCTGATTTCACAGCTCTCATTAAGTACTTGTCATGGTGCTATAATTATGAGTCTGTGTCTTGAGCAGCAGAGGAAGAATTGTCCGAAAAATCCAGGTGCTACAGTTCAACAACATGTCATATACACTATAAATTAACTGAGCAATTAGTAAAGATTTGCTTCTAATGAATAGTTAATGCGCGGATAGAATGTATAAAAAGTTCTTCATGAAACACAAAAATTCCGACACTTGAGTAATTAAAAGGCTGGATATTAAAGTCTGAGGAGGAACGGGACATAATTGGTAAGAATGACCTCTGACGTGTCTCTGTAATTAAGCGCGGCAACAGCAGAAGCGCAGCTCACACTGGTCAGATTGCACGGCGCATATCATTTGCAATTTAATTAGATATTAAAAATGTGACATGACAGTGACATTGCTCCTGAAAGATGAAACGTTATCTGGTTTTACATAAAGGAGCTCCAAAGAAAAATTGGCCTGAAACATGAAAATTGTCAATTTATTAAACAGTGAAAATGGATTTCCTAATTCATACCAATCAACATACGATTATAAAGTTATTCTTGGGATAATTAACTCACTATCTTCAACATTTTTGATTAAAAACAACTAAATTATGATGTTATCCTTTGGATCAAGTGACATTGTATGTAGTTACAGCAGTATCTAACAGCGTTTATAGCACATTAAAGTATCAGAGAATCGCACTGCCAAGAAACAGTCAGAGGCTTACACACTAAAGGAGTGAAAAGAGCATGAAGAATCTGCAAATGTACTCGATTCCAAAAGTGAAGGATCCACTCTGGCTAAACAGCTGAAAAGTCACATTCAGACCTGGCACAGACACACAGTGTTGAAGCACGTACAGACCTATGCTACATCACATTGCTCTCCCTTCTCAATATATTACTCTAGAAAAAATATTCCTGTACAGTGCAAAATATAGAACATTATGTAAATATAAATACAAACGTCTCTACACAACAGCACAGCTCTGCAAAAGTGGACAATCTGGTACATTCAAGCTCATTGTGGTGTAGGTTATTGGCCTTTGGCTCCTGTAACTAATAATTATGAGCAAAGTTGACAAAGTGCTTCATATTCAGAACAAACAACTGCACAATTGAACGAACCTGGCTGCAGCTAAACTCTCCTCTGTCCCTGAAGTTTGGCAGTGAGCGGAGGTCATGATGTGGACCATTGCCATGACCATTACAAAGTGATGGATACAGTACATGAAACATCAGGATATGTCCTGTGCCTGTGGAGGGGTCAGGGGATGGCGCTCAGCCTGCGACTTATTCAACACCATTGATTTATTGGAGCTGAGTGTCGTTCTGATTAATCACAGATCTTTATTTACCAATTGTGTCGGAGACTCCTGCCGTCCATCCTCCCCCTCGTTACTGTCACTTCAGTCTTCTCCGCCCACATCCTGTTCTTTCCGCTTGCCTTGTGCCCCCCACCCACACATTGTCCTTGCACCATGCTCCTCTAACAATATCTTGAAGAGAGTGTCTCCTGCTGGAGCAGCAGCTCTGAGTCTGACGAGGGTTTAGCTGAACCTCTGCAGACAGTAGTCGTTCTCTGTGTCCAGGGAGCTGTTGTGTCCAGACGAGGGGTAAAGGTCCCGGCGCAGCAGCCTGTTGACCACCGTCACCAGCACTTTCCTGTACTGCTGCCGCAGGAGAGAGTAGGCAAAAGGGTCGGATGCAGCCTTGCCATAAGTCAGGCACTTACTGATTATTCCCCAATGACGGTTTATGTCCACGAAGGGGAGAAGCTCGGCCAATCTGTGGAGGCAGGGACCAATCATTATTTCAACTGCAGCCCAAAAAAACAATGGTTGGAAATAACTGTTGATTTAGTCATTTTACTCAAGTCCAGTCATGGACTTTTAATGGCTATTCATTTTGACAATCCTCGAAAAATCTCTCAGTCGCCTAATCCAGTGGTTCCCAAGGTCTGGAACACTGCAGCTCCATGCCCCCAATATCAAATCCCATTATATTTTAAAGAATAGGTAAAGGTCTTCTTTCAAATGTATCCTTTCAAACCAAATACATGTTTTAAAATGTGACTTTTTTCTCTGTGTGCTATAGTTCCATACCATGCCTTTCCATGTTTCTAAAAATGTATGGCACAAACGTCAGAGTGATGGAGGACCGTAGTCTGCTTCAGGTCAGATCCACCAGGCATCTCCCTCCTTGTGACCTGTACGTGTAATTGGATATATATTTCTGAAGCAGCCATCTATTTACAGCAGCAATGATTGTTGTTTGTTTCACAGTTTCACAGAAATGAGAAGAATAGGCAGCAGGTAAGTGTGAGCCCAGGAATGTCAGCCTGTAATGTGATTATGGAAATGAGTTGTTACATTTTAACTCATCTCATCTTCTGTGACGGATCTGAATCCACTGATATGAGAGTGATGGAAGATGCCTTTATTTGATCGCTATCTGAGCTTATTAACACTGCTCTGTCATTATGAACTGTCTATGTATTTATACAGATGACAAGTGAGTTACAAAGTGAAGATGTCTTACCTTGTAATTACATAAGGAGCGAAGCAAATGACAAATGACCCAATGAAGATGCTGATCTTTTTGGTGGCTCTTTGTTTTCTCCTCTTCTGCTCTGCTAAGCATCTCTGCTTCACACTAAAATACAAGGAAACATGAGTAAGTTGTGAGTTTTGTCTGAGAACATTATTAGGCGAGGTAATAAACCATGAAAGTCTGTTTACCTGGGGTGAATGTCCACCAACAGGAAAAGTGTTTGCATTGTAATAATGTCAATTCTTTTACAGTGAAAGCGGGCCACTTTCAACACCTTCAGGTAGGTGAAACACAAGATGAGCAGTGACAGCATGAAGCTCGTGGCGTGAAAAACCACGGTGAAGACTGTAAACTTAACCCTGTCATTGCCCTCTCGGTTGGGCTGCAGAGTGCATGACGCGTACACGTGGCTGTAGTCTGCCCAGGAGAAGAGCAGCGCCGTCAGGGAAAAGGTCAAAGAGTGGAGCCATGAGTAGCACACCATCACCATGGCGTCTTTGTAACGCATCTTAGTGGAGTAACTGAGCGGGAAAACCACCGCGATCCAGCGGTCGATGCTGAGCGCTGCCATACTCAGCATGGTGTTGGTGGTCAGGAAAGTCTCCAGAAAGCTGACCGTGTGACACGCACAGTCCCCGAAGGGCTGCTGCTGCCACACGATGCCCAGGGCTGTGGCGGGCATGTTCAGGACAGTGATGAGGATGTTGCACAGAGACAGGTTCATGGTGAACACTCCGGGCACCTGCCGCCGGATTTCTGTGCTGTGGACGAAGCATAACAGCACCAACAAGTTAGACAACAGCGAGACGATCGCGACCACTACGATGAACAGTGTGAAAATAATTTCAGCAAAGTCCATGTCTCATTCCAGAAATTCTTCTCTCCAATCATCGGCTTCTGACATGATTTATTAGCGCTTCAGCAGCTCGAATAATGTCTTAGTTCATCCTTTGAGAGCGCGCGTCCTTCCGCTCCAACTTCCACGAGAGCTGTCCAGAGTGCTGAACCCAGAAAACGCACGGATCAGCCAGAGCTCTCCAAAAAGTATTTCCAAACATACTGTGATAAATCCAACTGTGCCCACTGCCACACTTCCAGTCCGCTACAGGAACCACGGAGAGTCCATGAGACGCGTCCAAAGCTCAGCACAGAGTCTGGAGTCTGAGCAGCTGCGCACCAGTGTGCTTCAGGCGGCGAAGAGCGACGCACCAGGAGGGACGTGGTGTACGTCTGTCCAAAAGAAAAAACTTGTTCCAACAAGCTCACAATCAATCCTGTCTCTATCTTCGTCTCTAGTCATAGACAGACGAATCAATCCACGAGCAACGAGGATTTCCTGTCCTTCCCTAAAATCAATGCAGGTTTGAAGGCAAATGCAGGGATGCGCGTAGTGGCCCCAGGTGCGCACGTGCACCGCAGCGACAGGGGCCAAACTGATCCTATTCCTCTCACCTGCATTATTCATGAGTCTGGACTGTGTGCTGTGGGCTCATGCATTATAGTTAGTGAGCATTAGAGTGAGATATGCAGAGCCATAACATGAACATGTACCAAACACAGCAGTTTAACACTCAGAATCAGAAAGCCTGTGTTGTCAGGAAGAAAAGTCATGATTATGTTAATCTGTGGAAGATTGTCAAAAGAGAAAAACACACATTGTTTGGATGCAAGCCCAAAATGAGACATACTTATTTGGTGTCATTACGTAATGATAAAAACAATAATAATAATAATAATAATAATAACATATAAATAAAACATATCAGTTCTTGGCAACAGTAAAACAACTCTTTTTAACATGTTGAAAAGTTGAATTGCTTCTGTGCTGCTGTTTTCACATCCATTTCACATAATATCTGATTACAATTAGCAGATCATTTTCATAAACTTGAGCAGCAAACACCTTCACCGCTACGTTGCTCTTTCTCCACTCTCTCTCTCTGTCTTTCTCAAACAAGTACTAATAATTATACTGAGAATCCAAATAGCTGTAGGTATTTTTGCGCCGCCTAATTAACTCCACCATGCACCAAACACACACACAGGCTTTGGGTTTGTCCCTGACGTGGAGAAGCTGCTGCAGACACTGGTCATGTTCCGCCTGCAGTGCTGCCTTCGCTTCATACTCCCACTCGTTATTGGCTTGTTTTGGCTCAACTTTAGTCTGTTGTATGTGAGGAAATGGTATCACAGAAAGCACTTTACCCACGGCCTTCTGTAGTATAAAGAGATGGTGAGTCAGACTGGTTTAGAGAGAGGACAGCCTCAGCTCTGGATAGAAATACTTTCCTTTTTTACATATAAAGCAGTAATGATGGCTCCTGCAGTAGCTTTCACTTTTCAACACATTTTACTCCAATTTCAGTCATACAGCGGAGGCCCGTTTTTACCATTTGTACATTTGTTTGACCTGTTGCTCTTTCCCATGGATTTTTTCAGTGTATCCTGTGGTCTCGTATGGTTTGAATTCATTCTGTCAGACCAAAATAGCAGAGAATCAATGCACATTCACTTATGGTGCGAGTAAATCTCATTTCAAATCCTTTTCAGCCTCGTTGTTTTTTATATTTTTCATCGTTCGTTTTTTGTAGCGTTTGAATTTATGACGTGTTTTGTGTTCTCACGTCAAATACATCCAGACCTTGAGACAAATACTAGTGACTCAAGGTCTGGATGTAACAAGTATACACAATGTTTAGACTTTTAGAACATTAATGGGGTTGGGTAGCATCCTTTGTCTCAAACCCTTTTATAATTGCTTTATCCTCGACTGGTTGTGTTTGTTACATAAAGCCCTTCACTTATCTTGTGTTGTGAGCTCTTCATTCCTACTGTTCTGTAACTTGTGATTCAACACTGACATTTCCCCATGTGGGACAAATAAAGGATTTCTTAAAAACCTTTCGGAAAGAGCACACATAGATACATGTAGATGGATAGATACTTTATTGATCCCCGTAGGAGAAATTCAGGAATATATGACGTGTTTTGTCACTGATTATGTATTTTGTCACTTATGTATTGTCCAAAGTGTATTGTTCTACTTTTCTTATAAGAAGGGTATACTATATCTGACTGTTGATAAACTAGTCACATTTCAACAACATAATCTCTTTAATACATGTTGTCAGCCGCTGGTTCAAAACTACAGGTTATCTGGACATCAGCACAAACAGACAAGTTACAGACTACAGTCTAGTCTGGGTCTCTGCTGGATGGAAATCAGAAGAGTGACAAAGAATGGACCAAAAGCTCTGTCCTTATACCCTGATAATTTGAAACACATGCAACAATATGTCCCAACATCCTTAGGTGAAGACAATACCTCCTATGTTCAGAACAAACAAATAGCCCCTCTCAAAGTAAGCCTGAGGCTACTCTAAACAGATGTTCTCTGCGCTCTTCTTAATTTAACTTCCTGTGTTTCATGGCTGGGGGATGGGAGAATGCTGCTGATGCGTCCATCACATCCCATCACACACGTAGGTTAACCCAAACTGTCTAAACTTTGAATATATTCTAATTCACTTTAATGAAAATCCAACAACTCTACTAACACTGACATACATACATACATACAATCGCTTTGTACATTAAGTGTGAAAACAATACATGCAGGTAGACCTAGGGGCCAAAAGGGTGAATGCATGGGATAGAAAAGGGATGGATCAGGGCAGTAAAATAATTCATTCATTCATTTTCAATGCTCTACCAACTGAGCTACTGTCACCCCCAGTAAAATAATTAAAAAGATAAAATAGAATAGATATAGTTCTATTTTTTGTTATTAAGAATAAAAAAAATAAAATACATGAAAGTACAAGGGGAGAAAAAATAATTAACAACTACATGAACTGGTAATATTTATGATTATTTACATATCTTCATTTTACTTGGTGATCCGTGATTTTGTACTTTATTATAGTGAGAATACACCAAATTTCAAGCTACTTCAAAATAACAACAACTGTATGAGATTTCAAAGCTTTCTATCTCGGCCCAGGGCATTTCCAAATTGTTGTCACAATATTCAGAAATTGTGCAATAAGCGCAATTTAGAACATATTTTATCCAGTAATGTCCAATGAAGTGTAGATGTCTCACAGAAGGATGCCAACAGATTATAGGAAGGAACCATTTTAAAGTCTTGTGTCTGAGTACCTCTGTGTATGAAAAAGGGAATTGTGTTATAACAGAATAAAGTTATAGGATAAACACATGTTGTTTGCATCGCTCATTTCAAACCAAACTGCAGCTGCCCTCAAATAACTACCTATATGATAATCATTCAGTTCGATACTACAACAGCGCCAAAACAAAAATATCACTAAAGCCACTCTGGGTGATGTCAGCTCCAGAACAGCTGATCAAAAGCTTGGGAGAGGAGCTACAGCTGGGCTCCTCGGGGGAAAGTGCAAATCTATTTATAGCCGTGCAGGGGTGCCACCTCCAATATCAGTCTGTGCGCAGGTTTATTACCTAACAAGCATACGCCACCGATTTCCACCGCGCTCATGGACGTTCAGTCACTTCGGGCGTTGGCGAGAGGGTGATCTGGCTTTAAAGTACAGCTTCAGTGTGCGGCTGGGTCTTTGACTTTGGCCCAGAACAAGGCAAATTACAATTGATTGCGAGGCAGTTTGAAGTACGCTGGAGAAAGAGGGGTGATAGACAGGGGTTACTTTCATAGATAAGAGATGCCTCACTGAAGGTTCGATTAGGAAAGACGGGTTCATGAAGGAAACAAAATGTCCCAAGGATACAGCCCACCACGTCTCGAAACAAACTTTTATACTCTCTTTTTTATATTACTGGTATTTATTATATACACTGCAAAAAATGACAAAATATGAGGTAATAAATGCTTAAATCAAGTGTTTTTTTATTTTTATTTGAACACATTTTGACTGTCTTAAAACAGCAACCACAAGATTTTTTTCTCATTCCAAGGGAGACATTTCTTGTATCTTTATTAATTATTATTATAATTTTGCTTGTCTCATTGGTAAATCTTACGGCAGTCAGAATGTGCTCAAGTTAAGATACATTATGCTAAATGTGAGCCATTTATTGAACGATTTTTCATCACTTTTTGCAGTGTAGGCAGATTATGGAAAGAACTTCAGAGCATTCTATTCCGTTCCATTGACTGTATATTAGGAGTGGACGAACTGAGTGCTGATGTGGAAGAAGCCGATTTGAAAATAGGCTGGCAAGAGACAATTTCCTTATATGGGCATTTGTGTTGCTAAGATGGTTGCTAGGGCAAGCTTAGGTTTCCCCCACAAATGAAGGCATCCGTTGAGGCTCACGTCCGAATTTACAGACAATATGAAAATCAAAACACCAGGATCATAGAGATTGATGAACCACAGATTTTTTTAGCCCAAATTGGTGAGTGTGACACAAAGAATTACTCAGCTGGAAGAGTTTACTTTTCAATATGAGTTAATAGGAGCCAAACTTCGTCCTTGAGCACTTACCGATGGGGCTTCATTGAGCTATTGGGAGTTAGCTTTGTCTATCTATATACAGCCACACATGAATTTGTTAGATCATAATAAACCATTCTCTTTCTTTGCAGCTAAGTGTAATTTGTTGCTATATAAACACAAATGCATTTTTACAACAACGTTCATGTCTCTCACTATACTTGATACATAAATCAAAGTGAAGGTCAGGTACTTCAAATTGGGAAGATGAAGAGATGTTTGTCGAATGCATGCGCTGGTTACACCCGCCCCCTCAGCTTCCTGATTGGACGCAATGAACTCAAATCCTTAACGGACAACCTCACCATTGGTCTAACTATTGTCCTCCAAAAAAATCATATGAGTGGTGGATATTCTAAGGGGAGGG